AAAGACAGATCGCCCCAGGCAAATACCTTCTGAGTCCTTCCAGCGGTTGCACTTGAACCTCAGGCTGACCACACTGACCAGGATGATCACAACCACTACCAGGATAACTATGAAGCTGATGACACCTGGGGATGAAGGAGAGAGCTGGCTGTGACTGATAGAACAACGTGCTTCTCCTCAGCTTCTAGGGGAGTGGAGAGACTTTGACCGTCATCAAAACGTGGCTACGAAATCATTCTTTTCTTTAAAATGAGCATGATACGTAATACAGAAGGAAATAGTCACTAGAGCGAGTGCTTTTATCTGCTTGAATTTTGGCCTCTGCTGAATACTTAGCTGGTAAGGCAGGGCCAGGAGGGCAGAAGACAGCTCATTACTCTGGGGATTGACTGGAGTCAGTATGTCCCTACTACAGTCAATCTTATCCTAAATGTGTATAAAGTCAAATAAATATGTAACATAACGGGGAGAGACAAGCTAAAGACCGTGATTGATGTTACCTGTCTTGTAAACCAGTGGCCTGACATCTGACATCAGGCCTCAATGAATCAAATTATTCTGTGCGCAGGAATCTTGTCCTGCTTCAGGACTTCTTGTGGCTTCCCGTAGAGGATATAAGCACATCATATGTAGGAAGTTAAAATGCTTCTCAAATACCATTTTTTCCTATTGTGTGATAGAAATGAGCAAAATTATTTTTGCTTATCTGCACGCAGTGGGGGTACCCAAGGCAGAATGGGTCTCAAATCTACCTCTTGCCTATCCTCGAATCTATTGCCAGGCTAAGATGTAGCATCTCTTGCTCCATCCTTCGTAGTACAAAGGACGTGGAGGAGTTGGCTGCTTCCTGCCAAGCAGGGCGCAGCTGCCCAGGGGAGCGCAGTAGGGCAGGAGTGTTTATTAGGTGCTTTATTGCCTGCTGGTGACAAGTCTTTTTCTCAAGGGTTTTCCCTTGCACTCTGGAAACTTCAGAACCAGATGTGCTGGAGAAGAAAACCGTGGAGCTATCTCCAGGGAAATATCTTTGAAGCTGGGTCTCTGAAACAGCATGGAGTGGCAGAACAGACCCTCCTCCTCTCCCAGGTTGCACGAGACCTTACCGAAGGCTGCCACCGTCAGTGGTGATTTGTCATCTGTCGGAGTGGGTGCAGGCAAGTAGTCAGTGGACTTTATTGTTGGGGTGACTGGCTTTGAGGTGCCTACAAGAGAGGAAAAAGGTAGCTTTATATAAAAGTCTTTCTTCCAAGGTTGGGAAGTGAATTCCCAGCGATGTTAGAGGACCTAACTTGCACTTGTGCTTTATTGAAGAGAGTGACATTAGATCCTGGCCAGCCCCATCGAAGTTAACAGCAAAGTAACCAAGACCTACGTGGGGATCGGATTGCCTTGGTGCGGCCCTTTTATCGACAGTCTGAGAACATCGGCAGGGCTTTCTCCTGGGGCCCTGGCGATGAAGCCGAGTGTGACAGGTGAAGGGCCGATCTGGCTGTGTGCATGAGAGGGAGCCTTGGCTCGTCTCCCTCCTTTTACAGCTTTTTGCCACAGCAGCACCTCCCTGCTGTGTCTCACAAAGGCCACAGGTTGCCCCAAAGTGCTGATTCTGTGGTGCTTTATGGTCTTTTCAAGGGCAAGGTGGGATGTCCAGCACCCCCGTGGTACTGATTGGCCATTCACCATGCCGCTGTGACGATGGCAGTGTGACGGCCTTGCTGTTGACTGAGAAAAGTTGCAAAGCATCTAGCAATAACCACCTTGAGTTGCTGGTGTTGTGGCTCTCTCGCTTCTGGGCTCTTGACCTGCACAGAAAAAAGCAGAATGTGAGTCTTGTCCTTGAGTGTCATCTAATAACTGAAAGAATTAGTGGGCGTGCTGGAGAGGAGAATGTATTCACAGTAATGCTGGTGATATCTGGGAAAACATGGAATTCATACTTGGGCTAAAACCTTTGCAGAAGACAAACTTTTTACTATTTTCCATGTCCAAATAGAAACTCGGGGAACCGAAATTTGATTATCCTTGTATAACCTGTTAGGGTTCTGCAATCTCAGGTGCAGTTTTTGGGCAAATACCTAAGAGTGAACTGGGAAGGTCACAGATTTGCTATTGCTCATAAAGGTTGAAACCTATAAAAAAAAAAAATCTGCTTAGGGGAAGGAATTCTACAGAGTATGAGTGTGGATTGTCTGTTCAGCTTGTCCTTGCAGTTGAAATTAATGGATATGCTGTCCTGGGTTATCTAGAAGTAATTAAGCTAGTTTGAGTTGGGCTAACTCGTACACCACATGTAGTTTAGCTGTGGCAGCGTAGAGGTTTGTTCAAGCAAGAACTCCAGTTCTCAATGGGATGAACTGGCTTATATGAGGCTCTGTGGTTTGTGACAGCTGCTTCCAATGCCCATGCAAGCCAATTTAAAGCTAGTCTGTGTGTTTCATTTGTACAGAGTCAAAAAACCTTTTACGGCCTCCTGGATATGTGTTGAACGCCAGATTATCTGCATTGACCTTAATGAAGAGCTACAGATCCTGTTAGAAAACTAAAAAAATACTTTAGAGCTTCAGAAGATCATCTGTAGGTCAAGTAGGATCTTCTTTTCTCCTTTCCTATGGCCACCTTTGCAAGAGCAGTATTGGCCAAAAGTTTGTGCTGCCAGGAGAAGTGTGAAACAGCTCCTGGCACTCTGCAGTGGACGTTGGGGCGTGCAGCTAAGACTGAGGTTCCTCTCTTGCAGAAAACAAATCTAACTGGTTTAGAAACTGCAGGCAGCAGAACAGTCCTGAGAAGCAAGAACTATTGTGGAACAATTTTTTCACCAGTTATCAAACCCTTTGTTTCATTCTGGAGTTGTTCTTCTAGCCACAGGCAGAAGCTGTGGTTTGCTGAGCCTGGCACGGATACCCTGTCCCTGGGAAATGTTGGGTCTTGCACAACAGGAGACTTCACTTTTGGAAGCATCAGCAACATTTCTGTAGTCAAAGCTGTATGGAGCTTTTCCGACAGAAAGCAGGGTTATAATTAATAGCAGTCTGCTCTAATGCAAAGGGCTCTTGGCTTAGCTGGGCACAGACGTGCTGGTTGGACAGCTGTGCTGGCAGAGCTGACCATGGGGTTTTAACCTTGCTTGCGGTAAAGAAGATCTGGTGGGTACTTGGAGCAGCAGAGCAGTTTTTGTCTTGACCGTGGCAGATTTTTGAGGCTGAACCTGTGATGGTTCTGTTGTCAGCTTTCAGTCTTCCTGCTCTCTTCAATTTCTTCTGAGAAAACTCGTACTGAATTCTCTAATTTTTGCTTACAGGCTGGGTTAAGCAAACTGTCCAAAGTTGTTTGTTTGTTTGTTTTAAAGAGTTCCCTTTTTCTAAACATAGATCAGTCTTTTAACTGTTCGAGTTCATCCCAAGCAGAGGACGTTAAGTGCATTTGGTCTTGTGTTTTATTATTGCTTGGAAGGATACCAGACATGGTTTTGCATGTTACTGGTGGCTCAGCTGCAAGATACAGAATCATCACCATCATCGTGGCTAAGCTTCGTGAACGAAGACATGGGGAGGGCTCTACCCACACCTGCTACAAGCGCTGATGGCTAAAAAGGCCGATGCGGGATAGGCAAGTCCGGCTGCAAAAAGGACAAAGTACCTTGCAGTGGTGAAGCTGCTGTGCTTCTGCTTCTGTTAGACGCTTCATCTGGATAAAGAGAACATGGGGAAGGAGAATTAACTCCTGAAGCTGCTACTAATTGTAGTATGGCGAGCTGTTGTGTTTTTATGGGGTAAAAAACTTTACTTGCATGAGACTTCCCCTCCAAACAAACCCCAAGATGTCCAGCTAGCGAGCTGTGCGGTCAGTTTAGAGGGTGTACGTGAGAGGTGAGCTTGGGAGATGTCTGCGGGAGAGGCTGAGGTGCCTGTAGCCACAAGACATTACCCAGTAAAGCATGATCTGGCTTTTCTACGGGCCTGCTGTGCAGCTGGTCAGGGCTGTGTCCAGCCCGGTGCTTTCAGGGAGCTGGAGTGAGCTGCTCTTTTAGCGCTCAAAGAGATTGGAAAGTTGCTGCAACTGAATAAGCAGCGTGGCATGGACTAGCCCAGGCTTTCTGATGCCCCCAGTTTTGCTTTAATAAGGAGGGATGTGTGAAAAGGTCCAGCCTGAGCCAACATTTGGGTTTTCCATACTGACCTTGTACAGTCGATGCTAGTGGGGTTGTGGTGATGGAGAAGACTGTGGCTGTAGTGGTTTCACCCCCAGAAGTGACATTCAGGATGGTTGACATGTTTGATTTTACTGAAGGCTCTGTGGAGAAAGCACAACATTACTTCAAAGAGCTCTGCTCAGAAGCAGCTTGGAGGAGGGCATGGCTATTGCAGAGAGACCTTGAACTCCTTGGAGCTGGGGATAATCTGCTAGGGGAAGCACAGGCATGAGTAGGCAAGGAAATAGCCTTTGTCTTGCTCAGAGTCAGGGAGATCTTGCATTTGGTCATTAGCTTCTGATTTTTTCAGGGTACGAAGCTGCTGAGCTGGCAGAGCTCAGGAGACACACAGAGAAAATCTCCTTTTTTTCTGTGTCTCTTTTCCCCACTTTGAAAGTATTTTTATCACTGGACACCTTAACTGGCTAGAGCTGCCTGGCACCCACCTGTTTGTATGCGTGGTACTTGAAATGCTACTTTTATGTCTCGTTTCACTGAGAGTCTCTAAGCACAAATAATCCAGTTCATGCAGCCTCATGCAGAGGCTCTGTCATACTCCTCAGCATGGTACGCAGAGCTACATAGGCAGAACAGGATCCAGAGCAAGATGTGAGGGGAAAAAAGCTTTCAATAAGCCTCTGCAAGGGAGGGTGGATGACCAGCTTGGAATTTATAGCAAGTTCTTTGTCTAGACTTCTCTTGGCTTTCCAATGAAAATGAGGGAAGAGTGAACATTGTTTTAAAGTTTGGCTATTTTTTTCCTTTTATCTAAATGATTCACCAAAATATTTGGATTGAGGAATAAGTTTCTTTTTTCTGCAAGGCATAGAAGCACAGTCTGTGATCTTTTTTGAGATCTTTTTCCTTTATATTTTTGGGGTCTTTTTGGAGGTGTAGCTATGCTTAGAAAGATTTTTTTTCTTTCTTTCCAAAGATAGCAGGAAGAGATCTGTCTCCAAAGATCCAAGTGGACTAACAGATATGATGTGGTGTTGGAGAGATGCCTTCTTGGGTATCTGGCTTTGTGTATTTTAAACATGTAACTTTCTGCTAATACCTCCCTACACCCACTTCCAGGGCTTTGAGGTGACCACGCAAAGCTTGTTTCGGCAGAGGGAGAGAAGAGGATAAGAGAATAAGGTAAGGGAACCCTTGAGAGAGTTATATTACTTTTAAATATTTTTCTGGCCTTGTGAGCAATTGCTCTTTCCAAGAAGGTAGATAACAAGCCTCACTCAACGGGAATAACTATGTTGGAGCTAAGGCTTCTTCCCCACCACCGTTCCCATCTAACCTGCCCTTGCACAGCCCCATTTATTGCTGGACAGCCCAGCTGGGGTGAAGGTCTGACCAGTTACAGGCCAGGATGCCCCTGAGCTGCACTCTTGGGTCTCCAGATGAGCATTACCTGAGGTGTGGTTGTTTACTTCAGGGCTCTGGGTTGTTCTTTGGGTTTGACCTGGAACACAAGCAGAGAGACATGGAGGTGATCATAGAATCACAGAACGGCCTAGGCTGGATGGGACCTTAGAGATCATCTAGTCCAACCTCCCTGTCATGGGCAGGGACGCCTCTCAACTAGATCAGGATACTCAAGGCTCCGTCCAACTTGGCCTTGAACACCTCCAGGGAGGGGGCAGCCACAGCATCTCTGGGCAATTTATTCCAAAGTCTTGCTGCCCTCGTACTGAAGAACTTCTTCCTAAGATCCAATCTAAATCTGTTCTCCTTCAACTTAAACCCATTTCCCCTTGTCCTATCGCTGGACACTCTTCCAAAAAGTCCCTCCTCAGCCTTCCTGTAGGTTCCCTTCAGGTATTGGAAGGCAGCTATTAGGTTCCCCCAAAGTCTTCTCTTTTCAAGACTGAACAATCCCACCTCGAGGAGGGGTGAAGGATGGGCCAGAAAGGGGCCATCGTAGCCAAGGAGAGCTGAAAGGGCAACGGGGGCAAGAGATGCCAAGGGTGGGTTTTGTCAGTGGTGTGGCTGTGGGGACCTGTGGGCAAAGGGCTCTTGGCTCTGAGGATCCACGTGCTCGCTGCTGGGGGAATCAGGGAGCAAAGGTGAGGCAGGATCCCTCTGCTTTCACCAGGCTTCAGGGAACACCACAATACTCTCTTCTACACTAAAAGGGGAGCCAGGCAAGGTTGTCCTCTGGGGCACAGTGGCCTCTCATGGCCTCTGGATATCTGGGGGTGAGTGGTGGTAGGTTGGGGACACAGAGGTGGGCAACGCAGGGTCCTGGGAGAAGGTGCTTCAGCAGATGGGAGTTTTGAATATGGTTCCCGTTTGTGGGCTCTCCATTTCCCTCCCCACATGGGCATGTGCATCCACCTCCACAGAGACATATAAAGCAGGTCACAACCCAGGAGGTACCTGACACAACGTGGACAGAGGTGTCTGTGGAGGTCGTAGTACCTGAAATAAAAGAGTAAGAGTATTAACGGTGCTATCTATGACTGTCACTAATATTCTTGCTGGTTGTGTGGTTTGGGTTTTCCTCATCTGCAGGGGTGACTTTGAAATACACGCTTTCCCCAAAAGCATTAGCAAAGAAGTAATAACAAACACTTGAGCGCAAAACTAGCAGATTTTGAATATATTAGTACTAGAGTTCATTCAGCCAGAATAAGCACCCTTTTCACCAGATAGGGCTGAACCTTTCAGGGACCTTCTCCCACAAAATCCGTGGCGTTCCATCCCCATGAGCTGTCTGCCTCCAGCTCAGTCTTAGCAGAGAGGGGCTGTTGGACCTGTATTCTGGAGCTGTCTAAGGAGTTAAGACACATATTCAAACACCTTATTCCCTTGGCACCTTAATGACTGGATGGATGAGGCTTCCAGGAGCCCACGGCACCATTTTCCTGCCTGTCTCCTACCTCTGATCCTTGTGTCCTGCGTATTTGTGTCCCGGGAAGCTGGCTGGGACCTCGTGGCCGTGTAAATCTGGGCACAGCGAGGGGGCTGCAGCTTGGGGACTGACTCAGAGCTGCCTTCTGATAGTGGTGTGTTGTCCTCCTGGTCCAGGCGGGGTTTTGCTCCCCCAGGGTTGTAGAGGTTGCACTGAGCTTCTAGGTTCTCAGCTGAAAGGTGGTTTCCTTTGGTTTTTGGGGTTTTTTTTGTTTGTTTTGGATTTATGACAAAACATCCCTGTGTCAGTCCCCTCTGTTGCCTACTCTCAGGATCCCTGCTGTTTTTCTGTAAGCCCCAGCTCCTGGAGTCCTATGATTAGATGAGATGCCATTTAAAACAGGAAAAAAAGAGAAATGTCCAGTTCCCATATTTGGACACAAGAACCAGAAAACATAAGTGCATTTTAAATGCTCAAATCAAACATAGCTGGTTTAACTTTGAAAAAGTGCCTTGGAGTCTGTCCTTTTGGAAATACACATCACAACCATTTAAATGGTTATTGCTGGTGATCTTGGTGCTGTCTGTAGTTAAGGTTAATGAAAGGAACTCTATTACAGCTACAGAAACCAGCTGGATCTGATCCATCTCACCAGTCCCACAAGAGCTACGGGTTTTGGACAAAGAAGGGACAGCAGCAAAGGCTGAAAGCTCCCAGCTCGCTGTCCCCTTGCGATGCCACGTCGCTCCCTCGCGGCAGTGGTCCGTGATGGGGCGCAGCACCTTTGCATCATCAACTTGGTGGTAGGTACCTATGCTGTAGAGGTCCAGAAGAGGTCAGATAGCAGCGTGTGTCTGGAACGGGATCTTTAGTGCTGGCGTGGGGAGGTTTTCAGGGCTTGGCTCAGAGCTTGCCCCTTGGGACCATCTGGGTGTAACGAGCTCATGATTGATCTCCTTTTTCTCATGGAGCTGCGTCGGAGCTGTAATTGTTTTTTTGTCTGAGGCTTTATGATAGTGATCCCAGCCAAACAGGAACCGAAACAGTGTCTAAGCCATGGTGAATAAATTATAGAACGTCGTCTCTTTCCAGATAGGATTTGGCCTTTCGGATCTTTTCCATGCTTACTGGGTGGCGGGCTGGCAAAACTGTCTTGTTTAGTCCATGAACGACGAGACGTGATCAGATCTTAATTACAGAGAGAGGAAGGGACTAATTGGTTTTCTAAATCCATTGGGAACAGGTCCAGAAAACAAGGACTTTTAACTGCAGCAAGGAAAAGGGAGTCTGGACAAAAGGAAACTGCCTGATTGTAAGGATAGGGAGCTGCTGGGAGTAATTGTGTAGGAGAATTATGGGATTTTCTTCTCTTCAGGTTTTGAAGACCAGGTTAAATGAGCGTCAGTCTGCTAACATAGGATTGTGGACAGATGTAACATCACTTAGTAGATTAACTAATGTAATGGAGAAAAAAAAGGTCTTCTGAGCACGTGGTTGCCCTTCTTAAAAAGGTAGAGATGCTGCTTTTGAGGAAGGGGGATGCACCCCTTGGCAGCACTATTGCCGGAGGTGCTATGGGGCACCACCTGCCCCCTGCAGGCCCATGGAGAATGTGTGGGGACTTGGGCAGTTCCCATCGATCCCAAGAGTTTGCCAAGTTTTCTCTCCATCACTGGGCTTCCTCTTCTTAAACACCTTTACCAAACAATGTCTGGACATTGATTTGCAAATGCCTTAAGTGCTCCGTATCCATTCAGCACAAAAAAATTTGTGCTGAGATGTGAGGATCAATATCCTCTAGCAGCTGCCAAAATCAGACAGCTCCTCTTTCTCCAAAATCCCTTGTAGCGGCCATTGTCTTGTTTTCCCATGGGGAGGAGTAGCTGCATGTAGCACATTTTCTTTTTTTAAATTATCACAGGTGCTTTTTTAGTGCACATGGCACCTGGAAGCATCAAGAATCACTGAAGAAAGAGCTATTGTCTACATTTAGTCTTTGTCAAAGAAAAAGGGGGATAAAGGTGCTGAGCTGACAAATGGTTCCAGCATTTTTGGTGCAGCTGAGGAGAAATCTGAGAGCTTGAACAGAGCCTCTAGGGATGGGAGGAAGCTGAGAGCGAGGGGGATGACGTTGCCCTATACTGCCAGCCTATGGGCCAGCTCCAGCATCCCTGGCACGAGGGCAAGGGGAGGAGGATCATACTCAGTGCTTTCTTCCACCACAGTTCAGCCCTTCGTGAGGGTCACACCAGAGCACTGGCTCATAAGGAGCTCTCTGTTTGCAAAACTAAACCTGGGGGTTATTGTAAATAAAATGAGTAAGCAGGACTTTTTCCAGTGCTCCATCCTTGGAGTTCACTTGGCCAAGTAGATGCTCGCCCTGGTCTGTCACATTTGACCTTTTCTGCGGAGAAGTGACCGGTCTTGCTGTGAGGAGGCCAAGGAATGGAGATGCCCTCTTGGCACTTTGCTCAGGGATGAATGTCCCCGGCTTCTCCAAACACAACCGCACGTATTTCAAAGTGGAGCAAGTCTGGCTCAGACTTCTGGCCACTGCTGCTTGTTACACCTTCCTTGCCAACTCAAATAATCAAAAGTCCTGCTATGTTTGGTGTTTTCTTCTGGTGAAGGCGTTTAACATCCCGGTTGACTCCATCAGGGGCGGACGGGCGTGCGCAAAGCAGGAAAGGGACCCAAGTCACATCGTGGGGCTGGGCAGCAGGGTGGGTATGAACAAAAAGGCGGCGCGTGTTGCGGCTCCCAGCAGGCGTCCCCAGGGGACCCTCGTGCAAATGGTGCTGGAAACTGTTTCTTCCCGGTGCTGCTGCCAGCATAGCCCTGCTCCCTGCCACAGAGGGCCCTGGCTGTATAAACAGCTAACAATAATAATCGGGACACAGCCAGCGCGGCTGTAATTGGAATAAGCATCAAAGCCATTTAAATGAGTCGCCGTTGAGTGTAAGCGCTGCCAAGATCTTGCGTGTTTGGGTGCAAGTGATTTACGGCCAGATTGTGCAGTTCTAGGTGGAGACGGGGAGCTCGCTGAGGGATTTATGATGAGAAATGCAGCTTTCTGCTCATGCTGTAATGGGAAACTCCTGATTACCCACCAGAGCCGTAGGGCTACAGAGGAGCACGTGGGTGCTGTGGGTGCACTTCAGCTGTGACTCAGCAATAGCTGCTTTTTTGGTTTATTTTTCCAGAGGATGAGCAGGGGAATTTTGGATTTCTGGTATCTGCAGTAGTTCTTCTGTGAGGTTAGATGTGAGTGTTAGACTGAGAAGGGAGGTGTCTTTCCTTGAAGCCTTCTTTCACGGCAGCCGAGATGTTCCCAGAGCCAGCAGCTCACCCTGCTCGCTCCTCAGCACAGAAAGAGAAGGATGTATACCAAATGAAAGGTGAAATTGAAGCATTTCTGCTTTGGTATGATTTTTGGCAATCGTTTAAAGAGCTGATTTCTGCAGCTGCTGGGTAAAGAGAGTCACTGACAGTTAAAAGCCCCCAAGCTTCACAGAAAAGCCTCCATGTAGTATGAAGGGACTGGGACTGCTCTTGTCCACTCAGATCCGATGATGGAGAGGGACCATGTATCCTTGATGACGTGCAGCCCTGGACTCTTCTCCTTCCCTGGCAGTTCTGGAGGAAGATGTGGTGATGTCCTCCGTGCCCTCAGCTAGCTCATTGCTTGGCAGGGAGCTGCAGACCCCACGTGGCATTTTGTAGCCTTGCTATAACGACCTCGGCGTCACCCTCTGCTTGCGGAAGAAAATACTTTCAGACAAGAGACCTGGCTACCTAAAATTAGACTTTTCAATTCACGTATTGGCACTTCCGTCAAACCACGTATGGCAAAAATATAGGACTGCTTAACACAAGTGCAGCTTAACACAAGCGCAGCTGTTTCCTGGGAGAAACACAGCAGCTGCTGAAGCGGCAGAGAGCATCAACACCCGATTTTTAGGACTTTCATGTGGAAAAAAATCCTGTATTAGGAAACCTGGAAAGCAGAGCGCTCTGCAAAAGCCAATGTCTCATTTTATTAAGTGCTTAAAAAGGTACCTCTGGCTTGAGGGTATCAGAGCGGAGCAGGTAGGGTGGATATTGTGGAGGATAGAGAGGAAAAGTGTCGTTAGGACAGGCTGAATAACTGACAGCCTAAATCAGGTCCCAGATCCACAGAGGTATTTAAGCCTCTAATTCCCAAATGACGTGGGGGGGGTTGGCAGTTCACTGTTGAGTGGCTCTGAATTGTAATGACTTGGCCAAAGTGTTACGGAAAGTTTAGAGAGCCAGGAATTTAACCCGGATCTCATCAGCAATTAAAATTAATGTTAGACTTCCTCTGCCTCTCTTCAAGAGCTGCACCCGAGTCTGGGCATCCTCTCTGAGCAGCACACTCTGTGCCCCTCTCTGGTGAGCTGTTCTGGAAGCAGATCGTAGCGGAAGGCAATTAAAACCCACTTGAATGTAGAAAACAAGCTGGGAGACAAACAATGTGGGGAAACAGCGTGCACGGAGCGGGCTCTGCTGCATCACTGTGCGTGCTAAGGTCTGTTTTTTCCTCGAGAAGCGGTGGCTCCTTGAAGAGCAAGGTGGCGTGGCTTTTGTCCTGGCTGCACCACCACTGCTCTGTGGGGTCTGGGAAGTAAACACCTGCTCCCTTCACCCTCCCTGCTGATTACTGGTTCCAGTTTCCTCCACGACTTGGTTGTTTTAGAGCTCTGTGTCTGCTCCTGGTCTCCGTGGGTCCTGCCCTTCTGGCTGAGCTGCCTGTGGGGTTTGACCCTGGGTCTAGGGGTTTAGAGGAGGAAATCACTCCGTGTTTATGCACCACCATGCCGGAACGTGATCTGCTGGGATCAGTTCAGCTCCCACCTTGTCATTCAGGCATGTAAGGGGCTGGTGGCCCAGGGGTTTCTCATCGTTCCTGTTCTTTCCACTTTTCATAAGTCTCACGGCCTGAATCCCAGGCTGAAAGATGTCCCTGCCTGGATGCAGCCGATGCTGGGGAGGCTCTGTGCAGCTGCAGCCTGAAGTGCTGCGTCTTGCTGAAGCGGCAGCTGAAGAGCAGGTAAGGGACCTTGACCTGACAAGCTTTATTGGAGTCCAGATTTCAGGTGAGTGACCCTGGTGATACCACCTGTGTTTTGTTCCCAGATTTCAAAGCACTTTGTGGAAGAGGTCATTTTGTTTTCTCTGTTCTGTGTCTGGGGAAAGCAAGGCACAGGAGCACTACGTGGCTGTGATAAGTGACAGACACAAAGCCCAGTCCCTGTCTGGTGCATTGCCAGCTGTGACATCCTTCTCCCTCATTTCTAATCACATTAATTTCAGTGTGATTCCAAGATTTTTACCAACTCTGGAGTCCCTTCTGGCTAATGTGTGAGAGGAGCTTATTGAATCGTGTGTCTGGAGCTGCCTGCACAGAGCAGTGCTGCCCTCGGGAGCATGCAGAGTCTGCAGCTCCCACCCTGATGACGGTGGGGAAGGTAGGGGAGACCCACCTTGCATCCCTTCTCTTGCCCAGAACCAGTGCTGGCTGTCCCCAGTGTCAGAAGGCTTTGCCTGGCTTGCTCTGGAGTGTGAATGGACGTGCTCCACACCTTCTTGGAGCCACCCTGCTGTCACAAACACCTCCACGTGAGTGTTCTCTGCCTCCCCTTTGTGTAGGGTGGCAAGCCCAAGACACTGGCTTTGCTTCTCTGCTGACGTCCCTGTCCCATCCCTCTGCCCTAGACCAGCAAAACCTTGATCTTGAGGAACTGGGTCACAAGCCAGGGGTAAGATTTTTCTGCCTAATCTGTGAAATCCAACTGCTAGTAAGGCAGTGCCATTTAACCACATCCCTGGTGTTTCATCAGGTTTGCAGCAAGTTGCACCAGCTACAGGCATTGGGGGCAAAGTTTCAAGGAAACTTTCCTATCTGCAAACACCACTGCAGCTGGAGATGCTAGATGTGACTTTGCTCCTTCCTGCTGTGCTGGGATGATTCAGCTGAAAGGTAAAACCAGTCCCCCCAGCCCATAAGTCTCCAAAAAAGACCAAATGGGAGGTTCCTCCTAGGTGTGGTGGTTGGGTCATGCTGAGGCACAAATCTCTTTTTTCCAACCTTAGGCTTAAGCCCACACCCTGGCTTTCCTGGCAGCAGGTTACCAGCACTGCCCCCTCCAAGGACACCTGTTGTTGACTCACCTATTGTAAATGGGACATAATTCCTGGAAACCGTTTCTGGCGACTTCAGTCAGATTTGCAGAGTCATCTGCAGGGTTTCATGTTACTAGAAGGGAGCAGTTTGTTTTGTGAGCAAACATCTCTCCTTAACCACCTTCTCCTTTCTCTTCCTTCTTCCCCAGGTCAGATTTGCACCAACCTCTCCTTTTTGGCCACGGAATCAGTGTTAGGAGGCACTGGATGCCCTGGTTTAAGGATGGAGGTGCTGTGTCTGGAAGGTCTCCAGGTAGCTCGATGCCTGTCCTCTAGCTGCACCCCATGATTTTGATTATATCAAAAATATATATTGACATATTTATATGTTTTCAGTATGCTGTGCTTCTTGTGGCGTTATCCATCCACTGGCTGTGGCACAATTAAGGAGAGCAGTGGACAGAGCAACAATGGGAAAATCCTGCTGGGTTCTCATCAGCTTCGAGGAGGAATTTTTCAGTGGAAATCTTTTGTCTGGAAAACGCCTGCCCTTTGTAATGGGAATGGTTCATAGGAAGAGGTTTGTTTGGACAAATTTTCTGTTAAAGTGTTTCTGGGGAAGAAAAAACAGGTTGGAAGTGTTCCAAACCTTCCGTCTTCAGCAATTTCTAAATAACAGTATTTGAACCTCCCTTTAGAAATAACTGAGAGAGCTTAGAAGTTTAAATTAATAATACACTCAGTAATAAGTTAATGAACTTGCACAAAGTAAGAAAATAGAATTTTTTTAAAAAAGGTCTTTGTGGAAATGGCCAAAGCAAATTCTGTCTCTCCTGCAAGATTACCTCCCTGCCCTCAGGGGTACGGTGACATCTGAGCTCTTCTCTCTAATTCCGTTTCTTCTGCCCCTAATTCCCTTCTCCAGCTGCCTGGGTGTCAGGCGACCAGCAGCATCGCTGACCCCGTCTCTGGCCCTTTCCTAAATCTGCTGCTTTGCCTTGGCGTGGAAGCTTCTCCCTCAAGTGCTACACCACCTTAGTGACTGCTACAAAATTAAAAGCCATTTCAGAACTGTCAGATCAAAGCAAGAAAAAGAAGTGAGAGAGCATACTTGGCTGTGGGGAAGGACAGTTGTTTTGATGGAAGGCAGGGAGGTGCAACCGCAGCATGGCTGACGCACAGCGGACATCAGCAACGCTGCCATCGTCGTCTGTAGGTGCTGGCCTTGCTGCCAGACACACATCTAGTGAGAACAGTCCCTGCCCCATGATTTTAAGCAGGCTGCAGAGACAAAGTGACACACTTGGGACAGAACGACAATCCTTCCACCTGATGCTTCACCAGGTGAATCTCTGGGCACAGCGCAGCCCGTGGTCCCACACTGGGTGGGGGCTGGATCTTGGCACAGTGCAGCTGAGCCAGAGAAGGCACCTGGCAGCCTCTGTGGCATTCTGTCCTGTGCCAACCATACCGAGTAGTTTTAAGAGAAAAAACCAGCATTCTGGGCAGGCACTAAGGAGTGTCACAGTATGGCCAAGGGGCCTGAAAGCCCTTGTCTGATGTCAGGCATGGTTTGCCCCTCTGCTAAAGCCAGCAGTATCGCCCCTAACAAAGAGAGAAATTTTCCATCCATGTGTTCTTCTCAGAATTACCCGGCTACTTATGAATTAGTTTCTATATTCTCTGCCTTTAAAAAACCCTGTTGTTACCAGCACAGTGAGTGCAACCCATAGGCAGATTCTATAGTTTAATGATAAAAACTTTGAATTAGAGAAATGTATTTTTAGGTGGTTGTCTGTTACAGTCAGCAAAGATTCTGCCGTCTATATTCTTTTGAATGTGTTTCAGCTCCTAGCTACTACAGCTGTCACCAATGCGAGAGGTGCCTGACAGTGCAGGAAAAAACAACCTGTCACCCTTCAGAGCAGGAAACCGGTTCCTTCATCCCACACCGCGACTCACGTGGGAAAGAGAAGTTAAAGCAGAACTCTCACAAGGGAGCAGAATTATTACACGGATGAGGCATGTTCTGCATCAATCTTCCGTATGGGCTTTGTATTTATATCAGTGAGAGGAAAAATTAAAATCAGGCAAGGAAAAAATACTTTAGAGGAAAATAAAGTCTTGTGCATTTAAATAAACAGCATCACAACCATTGGCAGAAATGCTCCTTTTGTTAACAAGGAAACAAATCCTTTCATTCCAGCGCCGCCAAATAAACATGTAGACCTGCTATGGCGGTGTTTTTCCCAGAAAGCTGACTCCTACCACCCTTGAATTTAAAGACTGAGCTTTCCGATGGCAGCACTAAATGTTCAAACCTCTGGCTGGTTGTCCCCTGTGAAGCCCGGCTCCCCAAATCCCCCCACCCAGCACCTCTTTGCCCTTCCCGGTGTCCGAGCGGAGCATCTCACCGCGGAAGAGCACGCAGCCAAACAGCCAGAGGAGCGGATGGACGGACGGAACCAGCATCTTCTCGGTGGCTTGTAGCTCTGCAGCCCCGCTAAGGCTCTGTCCATCCCGGGAGGGACAAGAGGGTGAGGAATGATTTGCCTGCCTGGGCTGGCTCTCGCAGAGCTTCCTGTTAAAGAATAGAAGGAAACGGGCTGAATCCACAGGGGAACTGTGTTTTGTAGCCCATTATGGTCGGGGAGGATGTGAGACATCGCTTACCGACGGCAAAGGAAACCTCGCCATCAGTTTGTTGGGCGATTTAGCTCTCGTAGTCAGGGAGAGCAGCATCACGGTGGGTCTGCCCTGGTTTGGGCTTCAGTAGCTTCTTTATGGTGCTTGGGGTTTTTTGGAGGTGCTTTGTTTGTGGTCAGGGTGTGCACTCCAGGTCCAGTCTGCTCTGTATCAGCTGTGAGGGCTGCGGGCCACGTTGGTCCTTCCTGGGCAAGCTGCTGCCAGAGGAGCCAGTCCTCCCCTCCCACCTGAGAAGGGATTTCCTAACATCTCCAGGAAGGATTTGGAAATACTTGCCCCTCATGGGGACAGGGTATGAGCAAGTGGTGCTGCCCTGTGCCCTGGGCTTCCCTGCACAGCTCCAGCGAGCCTGGGCACCAGGATGTGCTGGTTTTGGGATGCTGGCTTTCAGGCACATCAGCAGCAGCATCTTTCCCCACAGGACACAGAGCACACAACAAGCTTTCACTTACCCGCACCCCAGTTCCTTGTCAAGGGGGAGGTTGGAAAATTGGACCAGTTCTGCCCCCCACATCCAGCCCAAGGGGATCGGGGCATTTGGTCCCAACCTTGTGGTGCCCTTGTCTGGGCACGTCCCGACTGTCTGTCTGCCTGTTCCCTGCTGACATAGTTTGAGCTTCAGACGTAACAGGTGGCCCCATGTGGGATGTGAATGGCTGTTTGGTGGGAGGAGAAGGGTCTTAGTGTCCCCATGTGGGAAAGGGTTCCACTCCGCCCATCTCAGAGGGTCCGTGTGGATGTTCAGGATGTTCATTGCTTGAGGGGCTGGTCCAGCCCCCTCCCACAGTCCCCTGCGAAGCTGCAGAGCCTTGTCTGAGGACAGCAGAGCTGCTCCTGCCCTGCATGGAATGCATCAAGAGGGTGTCTGCTGCTGCTGGCAAGGTCCCCACTTTCCATGGCGGGGAGACAGCGGCGGGAACAGAGGGAGAGATCTCCTGTGCACCGCACAGCTCAGCTCACAGAACCACAGTGGGTCTTTTCAAACACCTACAGAATGCCAAGCAGAACATCGGGCCAAACGTAGCCAGCATCTCACAGCTGCCGGTGCTTTCACAAAATGCCTATCAGCAGCCTCCCCCATCCTTTTTTCTCTCTCTTGCACAGATGTGATGCTCAGAGATTACGCTGTAGATTAAGGTTTTACTGAATCCCGAGATGAGTTCAAATTCCCAGAAGGTCTAACATGTGGCCAGATCTCTTCTGGATGCTCGGCTGGATGGGGGAAGAGGCATTTCCCACCTCTGTCCCCCCAAGTGCAGGAAGGGCAGAGGCCAAATACTCACCCCAGCTTGCCTGCTGAGAGCCTCCAGGTAAGAGCAGTGTTTTTGGGGGATGGAAGAATGGGGAGACACGTTTTGTAATGGCTAAAACTCCAGAGGATCCCCCTTTTCTGCTCAGATATGTTCTCGGGGTCACCTCAGGTGTCAGAGGGTCTGACCCCATGGCATCCCTGGGCCAGGGAGCCAGTACCTGCCTGTGTTGCTGTACTCGAGGGCACCCCTGCAGCCTTGCTCCAGCGGTCACCATGCAAGGGGAGAAAAGTAGAGGAGCTGACCTGGCACTGGCTACTGCCTATGAACCTGAGGGGGTCCCAGGGTCCAGGGCTTCACCATGAACTCGTGCCACTGCGGGCACAGCAGAATGGTCCTTCCGTGGCAGTGGGTCCCCCTGGCAGAGAAAATCAACCCTGGGGCTGCATCATCTCTTGGGGTCAGGGTCCTTGTGTGAGTATATTTTGCTGGGCTGTGCAAAGAGCTGTGCAGAAGGGTGATGTGGTTTTTTACTCCAATTTCCTTAACTGCATTAAATTTTAACGCCGAGTCAGTGAAAGGAGGGAAGTTTCCTGCAGTTAGTTGGCTGGGGGCTGTGTGACTGCAGCCGAAGGGGTGGTAGGTGCTTTCTCCCCAACAAAAGAGTGCTTGTCTTGCAGCGGGTGAGAGGAGTTGGGTTTTTTTCCAGCGGAGAGCGTGTGACAGCGAGGGAGGGGGCGGCAGCGCTGATGTGGCACCAGGGTGGGTAAGGGAGCACCTCTCCTGCCTGCTGGCTGGGCAGGCGCTTCCTCCTCTGCCCCGGGGAACCCCGGCGGGGTGTGGGGCTGAGGCATGACGTGGCAGCCGCCGAGTGAGACTGGCTGCACCTACACCACACAACCATCCTGGAGGTTTTCTTGCTCGTCCTGCCTTCAGCTTCCCCGCCT